CATCAAACAAGTGAAGGAGGGAAAACTTCTGCCATCTCCCCACAACTCAAAATCTGTTAGCGGAAAAAACATTGGTTGCATTCCCAAACAAAACATGTGTGGATTCACTGGAAAAATTGCAAAAGGAGTTCCAATTTAGATTTAAAGAGCTTCATCTCCATGAACAGGACATACAGCTTTTCCATAACCCATTTTCTATTGACATTGAAAATGTGGATACAATTTACCAAATGGAACTGGCTGAACTGCAGAATTGTGACTCTCTGAAAGACGCATTCAAGTCAAGCAGCCTTCATAATTTCTATGCATCTCTCCCCTCTGAGACATATCCTCATCTCAGGAACCATGCACTCAAAATGGCAACCATCTTTGGCAGCGCTTATGTCTGTGAACACACTTTTTCCAGAATGAAACATTTGAAATCTCCAACCAGATCTAGACTAACGGATGCACACTTGCATCACTTGTTACGACTAGCAGTGACAAATATGGAACCGGACATTGACCATCTCATTAGCCAAAAGCAGGCCCATAGTTCCCATTGAAATACTGGCAAGTTTGTTGATTTAACTTTACTTGTTCTTCATTTTAAATATTGTATGTTCCCGTTTTGTTTCTTCACTTCAAAATAAGATATATGCAGTGTGCATAGGAATTTGTTAATAGTTGTTTTTTAACTATAGTCCGGCCCTCCAACGGTCTGAGGGACAGTGAACTGGCCCCCTGTTTAAAAAGTTTGAGGACCCCTGGTATAGAGTCTTGACGAGGGAGTTTTTCTGGGATGGATGGTGGTGGGAATCCGGTTTTAGGCAAGCATCCGTGTGGGTGGCTTTCCTGTAGACAGAATGGCTCATTGAACCATCAGGTCTCCTTTTAATTAGGACATCCAAAAAGGGTAGCTTGCCATCTTTTTCGACTTCCATGGTGAATCTGATGGCTGGGTGTATGGAATTGATGTGGTCGAGGAATTGGTCTAGAGCAGGCCGGCCATGTGGCCAAATGACAAAAGTGTCATCTACGTACCTCTTCCACAAGGTCGGGCATAGAGTGGCAGTCTGGATGGCGTCAGTCTCAAATTTCTTCATGAAAACGTTGGCTACAACCGGAGATAGGGGGGAGCCCATTGGGGTACCCTCAGTTTGTTTGTAGAAAGTTCCATTCCAGGTGAAGTATGTATTGGTTAAGCAGTGTCTCACAGGGGGGGGGGGGGTACCCCAGCATTCAGTCCTTGATGAATCAAGTCTTCAATGATTGCGATGGTGTCAGGTACAGGAACTTTGGTGAATAAGGAAACCACATCCAAACTGACAAGCAGGTCGTCTGGGGACAGGTAAATCCCCTTGATTGTCGATACCAGATCAGTAGAGTTTAGTACCGCAGAGGTGTTTTTTCCAGTGAAAGGCCGTAGGATTTCAGACAAAAAACGAGCCCTTCTACGCGACTTTACCGAAAGAACCAAGAAGACAAGTCCCTGCAGTCACGAAAGCTTTAGAGATTTCCTCGATTAAGTAGATAATTCAGTGTGTAACAAAAACATGTTTTATTGTTGTCCCTGTGTAGTAAAGTGTTATTACCTAATAGCTAGTGCCTCAAAAGTAGAGAAAGTGGGCTCTTAATACTCCACACAAACGTTGCTTGTGTGACCCAGGACACAAAAGCGAAGTGAATAATCCACTCCATTAATAACAGTGTCACAACAACATTGTCCCTTAGTAGTACAGTTTTATTATCTAATAGCTTATGTCTCAAAAGTAGAGAAAGTGGCTATTGTTAATCTCAACAAATTCTAAATTTTAAGCTTTCGTGACTGCAAGGATTCATACTCGGAGGTTTTTTTCAGTAAAGTCACGTAGGTAGAAATAAATAAAACTAAAATAAATTAAAAATAAATTTAAATAAAATCTCCTCACAAACGTTGCTTTTGTGACCCAGGACATTGATAAATTTAACTATTTTAAATAAAAAAACGTGGCGTGCATGTGTGTCACCCCTTCACGTAAAGTCCTGCTCACAAACGCAAAGTTTGTGTGGAATAATACTATCCATTAAACATACTTTGTAGGCATAACCAATTTAGCAACACACAACACTTTACTACGCAGGGTCAGACCTCGTGTTAGGTAGTCACCCGGCAGCGGTGTTCTCGTTGTTGTTGTTGAACCAATAAATATAATCTAGATATGCAAGGAGACCCATGCATTGTATAGGTAAACCCACTAAAAGAAACTCCTTAAAAATTTTTTTTTATACAAATGTCTTTTTTATTTAAAAAAATTGTAACATTTTTTTTAAGAAGTCGAGCGGACAACGTGGAAGTAAACGACGTTTCGACCACGAGCCTTGTGCGCGCCACACACACAGAGAGAGGAACGAATGAAGTTGAATAATAAAACAACAAGTTTGAGTTGCGCGACACGCGCTCGGCGCTCACCGCGTGTTCAGAAGCTTCGTGGGCGACGCGATTCCAGAGCTCAGGGGCCGCGGCGTTCTCGATTCCCGGCGGGAAAATAGATATTTAATTAACAAGACGTCCACGCTTTTAAAGAGACGCTTAAGTGATTGACGCCGATTTTTATTGATTGCTTTATCAATTAGGTGTTTTTTTATTTCGAGTGATGCACGCACACGACGCAGGTGAGCCTGAGGCACGTGGCGCCTGATTGGTGTGCGGGCAGTACGTTGTCACAGTGAGCACACAGTCTCGTGGATTGGACAACAGGAAGTAGACTAAACATGTTGTTACAAGATGTTGACCACGACAATCAGAGGAATATCACGTGAAGTGAAAGCGTTGAAAAATATAAAGGGGCAGAAATTACTCCATCAAGAAAACTAAATTTTAATTAAAACCCAGTACACATGCAACGTTGAGACAATGTGGTTAACATAGGTGTACACACACAGCGTGGTTAACATACAGTGAGGGAAAAAAGTATTTGATCCCCTGCTGATTTTGTACGTTTGCCCACTGACAAATAAATGATCAGTCTATAATATTAAAGGTAGGTTTATTTGAACAGTGAGAGACAGAATAACAACAAAAATCCAGGAAAAAATGTTATAAATTGATTTGCATTTTAATGAGGGAAATAAGTATTTGACCCCCTCTCAATCAAAAAGATTTCTGGCTCCCAGGTGTCTTTTATACAGGTAACGAGCTGAGATTAGGAGCACACTCTTAAAGAGAGTGCTCCTAATCTCAGCTTGTTAGCTGTATAAAAGACACCTGTTCACAGAAGCAATCAATCAGATTCCAAACTCTCCACCATGGCTAAGACCAAAGAGCTCTCCAAGGATGGCAGGGACAAGATTGTAGACCTGCACAAGGCTGGAATGGGCTACAAGACCATCGCCAAGCAGCTTGGTGAAAAGGTGACAACAGTTGGTGCGATTATTCGCAAATGAAATAAACATAAAAGAACTGTCAATCTCCCTCGGCCTGGGGCTCCATGCAAGATCTCACCTCGTGGAGTTGCAATGATCATGAGAACGGTGAGGAATCAGCCTAGGACTACACGGAAGGATCTTGTCAATAATCTCAAGGCAGCTGGGACCATAGTCACCAAGAAAACAGTTGGTAACACACTACGCCGAGAAGGACTGAAATCATGCAGCGCCCGCAAGGTCCCCCTGCTCAAGAAAGCACATATACTTGCCCGTCTGAAGTTTGCCAATGAACATCTGAATGATTCAGAGGACAACTGGGTGAAAGTGTTGTGGTCAGATGAGACCAAAATGGAGCTCTTTGGCATCAACTCAACTCGCCGTGTTTGGAGGAGGAGGAATGCTGCCTATGACCCCAGGGGCGGTTTCTTCATTAGGGCGATTGGGCGACGCACCACCAATGTCATTCAACCACAGAGTCACGCTAGCCGTTATTGTGCCTCTGGATATAGTCCAATCAGCGTCATGTCACGTTCTGTGGAGTACCGCCTCTTTTTGGGCGATTTCACTCCGGCTGAGAATCGCCCCGAGTGGCCCCATAGACTTACATTCAAAGATGTTTTTTTTCGAACGGCGGGCGCTGCAATGCATTCTCTATGGCTTCCGGGAGGGCTCACACTAACGTGCTAACGTCATCATACGTGCTTACGTCATCATACGTAAGCACGTTTCAGTCAACAATATTATTTGTCGCCACCTAGTGGAATCTTTAATAAAATAAACTTGAGTGGTTTGTTTTAATAGTGAGTATAGAAACAAATAAGATGTATTGTAAGAGTCACTTTATTTTTCATTAATATTAAAGAAGTGAAGTTGCCTTTACATGCTTAAGCTGTTAATTTATCCATTGCATGGGTGGACCTTATCCTTATCAATCATCCAGACATTTGCCCCCCCTGAGAGATTTTGCAGGAGCCGCCACTGATATACACTACACTTATATACACTACACTATATACACTACACTTATATACAATGCACTCGATATGTTACATGTTGATATACATGACATCTTGTTTTGACGTACCGGGCTAGAGTTTTTGTAGCTGCGAATTTAAAGTGTTTTGCATGTTCCGTCAAACAAAAGCCTCAATTTTTCGATTTAAAGCTTTCGTGACTGCAGGGATTCATCTTCTTGGTTCTTTTGGTCAAGTCACGTGGAAGGGAAATAATAAAATATTAAATTTTTTAAAATTAAATTAAATTAAATCACGACTTTTTCGGAAGCTTGTGTCGCCCGAAACGTCGCGATTAAATTTTTTTTAATTTTAATTTTTTCACCTCCGTGACTTTACCGAAAAAAACACAGAGTATGCGCATATACTCTTTGCTTATTTCTATTTTATATTTAAAATCTTCACCCACGTGACTTTACCGAAAGAAGCAAAGGATATGGATCATATCAGTCACGAAAAACTTCAAATCGACTGCTGCACACACAGAACTGTGGCCAGTGTTGAGTCTATGGGCAGCGCTTATCAGCTCTACGGAATTTAGCCTCCCTGCCACGTGGTCGCCTATCCGCGCTACGTTTTCTAAACGTGCCCTGCTAAAGCCACGCGTTCCCACCAGCGGTCCGTCTCCCGCCCTGGTTGTGGTAGCGGCGCGAAACGTCGGACCACCACCACCACCACACGAGTCAATAGCTTTGTGTGTCACCTCCTCGCCACGACGGAGTAGAGAGCTCAAGACCACCCACACAGACGTCTACGGAGCGAACCACGAGGTGAGTGAGTGCAGCCCTAGGCCACATTGCCCGGCCTGGTTGGGCTGGGCTGGCCTGGGCTGGGATTGGGCTGGGTGACATTGCCCGGCCTGGCCTGGTTGGGCTGGGCTGGGATTGGGCTGGGCTGATACCCCCCCACCACCATCCCCTGTGGTCTTTGTGGAACAGTTGAGGGGTCTAAACTGTGTTGGTCAATCCGCCCGTGGAATGTAACATTCATGTAAATGTCTAAGTCGAGATCATTTAATCAGAATCTGGGGTCGTGACGGTGACTAGGTGGATGTTAACTCATTCGCCTGGTCTACAGGAGGTCATGAGTTCGATCGCGACCCTGTAGAGATATTGACTACATCGCCTGGTCTACAGGAGGTCGTGGGTTCCATCATGTCCCTGTGAGATGTTAACTACCTCGCCGGGTCTACAGGAGGTCGTGGGTTCGATCATGACCCTGTAGAGATGTTAACTACCTCGCCTGGTCTACAGGAGGTCGTGGGTTCGATCATGTCCCTGTAGAGATGTTAACTACCTCGCCGGGTCTACAGGAGGTCGTGGGTTCGATCATGACCCTGTAGAGATGTTAACTACTTCGCCTGGTCTACAGGAGGTCGTGGGTTCGATCATGACCCTGTAGAGATGTTAACTACCTCGCCTGGTCTACAGGAGGTCGTGGGTTCGATCATGCCCCTGTAGAGATGTTAACTACTTCGCCTGGTCTACAGGAGGTCGTGGGTTCGATCATGACCCTGTAGAGATGTTAACTACCTCGCCTGGTCTACAGGAGGTCGTGGGTTCGATCATGTCCCTGTAGAGATGTTAACTACCTCGCCGGGTCTACAGGAGGTCGTGGGTTCGATCATGACCCTGTAGAGATGTTAACTACTTCGCCTGGTCTACAGGAGGTCGTGGGTTCGATCATGACCCTGTAGAGATGTTAACTACCTCGCCTGGTCTACAGGAGGTCGTGGGTTCGATCATGCCCCTGTAGAGATGTTAACTACTTCGCCTGGTCTACAGGAGGTCGTGGGTTCGATCATGACCCTGTAGAGATGTTAACTACCTCGCCTGGTCTACAGGAGGTCGTGGGTTCGATCATGTCCCTGTAGAGATGTTAACTACCTCGCCGGGTCTACAGGAGGTCGTGGGTTCGATCATGACCCTGTAGAGATGTTAACTACTTCGCCTGGTCTACAGGAGGTCGTGGGTTCGATCATGACCCTGTAGAGATGTTAACTACCTCGCCTGGTCTACAGGAGGTCGTGGGTTCGATCATGCCCCTGTAGAGATGTTAACTACTTCGCCTGGTCCACAGGAGGTCGTGAGTTCGATCGCGACCCTGTAGAGATATTGACTACCTCGCCTGGTCTACAGGAGGTCGTGGGTTCCATCATGTCCCTGTAGAGATGTTGACTACCTCGCCTGATCTACAGGAGGTCGTGAGTTCGATCGCGACCCTGTAGAGATGTTAACTACCTCGCCTGGTCTACAGAAGGTCGTGGGTTCGATCCCAACCATGACGCCCCTCTATCAAGTTCAAGCTCATGTATTACGTATAGCCCTGTGAGCCATTCGGCTCTTGAATCTGGTGCAACCGCAACAAACAAAAAACTAAAACATGAACAAGAAAACATCTTAAAGTGAATATGTGACTAAGTGCAAACAGAAAATCTTAGAAAAGACCAAAATATTGCAGAAAAAGTACCGTTACACCAACGCCATGTGCAAAAATCCCAGTGGGATGCAAGTCAAACAACAACAACCACAAGACAACTTAGATTAAGGCCATCAGTCTAACTCTGTACATCAACAAACATGGCAAACCAAAAAAAACGGGCCGAACGAAATCTGTTTAGGCATGCGGTGGCTGGGCATGCGGGTTACATGACCCAGCCAACGCAGCCTTGCCTGCCGGAGGAGCTCACCAATAGGACTTTGTCCAGATCTTTCAACGATTTGTGAGCTCCACACACAATCCAGCCTGGTTATCCGAGGATGGATCGTAGACAGGCCAGCCTAAATGTTTCTAACCGGTTAAGATGGATCATAGACAGGCCAGCCTAAATGTTTAGGCTGGTCTGTCTAGAATTTCCCTTGGGTGATCATCTCTGCCTGGTGCCTTTCCTGGTCTCGACTCTGGATCTCCTTCAGGACTTCCTCAACAGATGGCACCTCAGCCAGTCACTCACAGGGGGTGACTTCTTCCAATATTTGAGGCACCGCAGCCTCAGCAGTGTCATCCCCACTTTGTGCCATGATGTTTTCCTGGCTGAGGGATTTCCCCTCCCCCAGGACCTCACAGAAATGCTCAGCAAATCTACAAACCTGTTCCTGGGGGGGATCGGAGATTGGATCACCATTCTTTCCCCGAATGATGGTGATAGGTGTGGCACTACAAGTTACGTTTTTGATGGAATTAAACAGTGATGTCTGATCACGGGCTACTGAGGCAGATTCCATCTCCTCAGAAACCTGCGACCACCACCCATCATTGCAGCGCCTCAGGGCTCTCAGAACCTCCGAGCGAAGGCTGCGGTCAGCCTCATTCTCTGACGTGGGATGCTGTAGACTATGAGAGTGGGCCTGTTGATTTTTCTCAGCCAGCCTGAACACCTCCTCTGTCAGCCAGGGTCTCTGGGGAGGTCTGAACTGTGTACCCAAAGCAGCCATTGCAGGTGCATGAGCCACAGTCATTAACCTCACCCATTTAATTCTAGATTTGAAGCTTTCGTGACTGCAAGGATTCATATTCTTAGGTTTTTTCGGTAAAGTCATGTAGGTAAAAAATTTAAATTAACAAAAGTAAGATAAAATAACGTTTCGGAGGCAACACAAGCTTCAGTCTTCAGGTGGAACCGTCACAGCCACGACAGCTGCATCAAGTGAGAGACATTCCAAGAACACAGTCCTTGTATATATATACTGGTTGAGGGTGGGAGGAGCCAAGGTAGGCCCTGAATATTATTGTTGTGAGGTTCGGTGCGGCTGAAGCACGCTGTTAGGAATGAGCCTTTGTTGTGTAAACTAGGTGCGGCTGATGTAAAGGTGCATTTACCCTCGATGTGTATCTGTGACCCTCTGTGACAATTCTCTCTGTCTCTCTCTGCGACTCTCTGCTTCTCTCTATTTCTCTTGCGTCTCTGTGTGATCGCTGCTGCTGCTGCTGCTGCTGCTAGCGGCGGTGGCGGGCGGACTTCTGGCAGCAGAGGACATCCACGTGACCGGCGGAGTCTGCGCTCATTTCCCCTCTATGTGACTCTCTCTGTGACTCTCTCTGTGACACTCTGTGACTCTCTCTGTATCTGTGACCCTCTGTGTGATCGCTGCTGCTGCTAGCGGCGGCGTCTGCGCTCATTTCCTCTCTATGTGACAATCTCTGTGACTCTCTCTGTGACTCTCTGTGACTCTCTCTGTATATGTGACCCTCTGTGACAATTCTCTCTCTCTCTGATTCTCTCTGTCTCTCTTGCGTCTCTGTGTGATCGCTGCTGCTGCTGCTGCTAGCGGCGGCGTCTGCGCTGGAAGCGTTTCGGGGCGGCGGACATGGAGCAGCAGTACGAGGCGGTGGCCGAGTTGGGCGCTGGGGTCTACGGGGCCGCGACGACTTTCAAGGCTCGCGACCTCCGGGACCAGGGCCGCTTTGTGGCGCTGCTCAAGGGCCTGCGCCTGCAGACAGGCGGGGGCCCGGAGGAAGATGCCTGGCAGCTGCTGCAGCTACAGCTGCTCACGAAGCTGGAGCACCCCAACGTGGTGAGGTGGGTGTCTCTCCCACCCCTCGCGCCGCGTCACAATCCCTCGCAATCGTCGCCACGTCAGCCTCCATCCTCCAATTCTCCACGGTCATCGTGTCTTGAAAAGATTAGGAGACAGATCGTCGTCGTCAAACCGAGATGACTTCTGCGCTCTCTTGCTCTGATGTCTCCGACCCCCGACCCCCGACCCCCGACCGGCCTGCCCCAGGCTGCTGGACGTCTTTGTGGATATTCGTGACGAGGGCGGCGCGCGTCACGCCGTGGTCTGTGAGCTCGTAGACCAGGATCTGTCCACCTACCTGGGGAAGTCGCCCCACACACCGTCCCACCACATCAAGGTGCCACCGCCAGCACCACCCACCCCGTCACTCCCTACCCCACCCCCAAAAGGCAACACCACTCTCAGAGTCTCTGTGTATCTCTATGGGTCTCTGTGTGTCTCTGTGAGTCTCTATGAGTCTGTATGTCTCTGTGTCTCTATGAGTCTCTTGTGTGTCTCTGAGTCTCTATGAGTCTCTGTGTGTCTCTGTGTATCTCTGAGTCTCTATGAGTCTCTACCAGTCTCTGTGTGTTTCTGTGTATCTCTGAGTCTCTATGAGTCTCTATGTATCTCTATGAGTCTCTGTGTATCTCTGAGTCTCTATGAGTCTCTATGTATCTCTATGAGTCTCTATGAGTCTCTGTGTATCTCTATGAGTCTCTGTGTATCTCTATGTATCTCTACGAGTCTCTGTGTATCTCTACGAGTCTCTGTGTGTATCTCTGAGTCTCTATGAGTCTCTACCAGTGTCTGTGTATCTCGCACGCACGTTGCGAGCCGAGCCTCGGAGCGGCTAACGAGTTTACACTCCCCCCCCCCCCCCTCCTTGTGCCGTGACCTTGTGCCGTGCCCTTGTTCCGTGCCCTTGTGTCGTGACCTTGCACCGTGACCTTGCACCGTGACCTTGTGCCGTGCCCTTGCGCCGTGCCCTTGCGCCGTGACCTTGTGCTGTGACCTTGCGCCGTGACCTTGCGCCGTGCCCTTGTGCCGTGCCCTTGTGCCGTGCCCTTGTGCCGTGACCTTGCGCCGTGACCTTGCGCCGTGACCTTGCGCCGTGACCTTGTGCCTTGACCTTGCGCCGTGCCCAGGAGGTGACGCGCCAGCTGCTGTGTGGGCTGCGCTACCTGCACGGCCACGGCCTGGAGCACCGCGAGCTCACGCCACGCAGCGTCCTGGTGACGGCCTCCGGGTGCGTCAAGATCGCCGGCTGGGGACTCGGACGCTTCCTGGACAGCGCGAGCAGGGCTCCCACCCCGGCGGTGAGTAGAGAGAGTGAGAGAGAGAGGTCTTCTTGGTTCTTTCGGTAAAGTCACGTAGAAGGGAAGTAATAAAATAATAAAAATAAAACATAATAAAATAATTCTCACGACGTTTCGGCCACAACGCAGGCAGCCGTCCTCAGGTGAAGACCAGGTCTGTCGAGGAGACAGCGTCTGAATCTGTCTTCCGGCCAACACCGGCGACGATTATCTTAACCGGTCCCGGGCCTCCCCTAGGTTGACTCAGCCTCAAAAGAGTACCCGGTGCGGTGCGCGGTAAACATCGCCACCGTGTAGACAAAGGTGCTGGCCACCAACCCCCTCGTGTGCCGGCCGTCACAGGTGCTGCTCGCTAACGGCACTTGCCCCTACGGTGTGTGAAGGCTACACGGGGGGTCTTTGTCTTTGTGTGTGCTGCTGCTGTAGGTGTCCCCGTCGTGGTACCGCGCCCCGGAGCTGCTGCTGCTGCGGGCGACCTTCGGCCCGGCCGCCGACCTGTGGAGCGTCGGCTGCATCTTTGCTGAGATGTTTACACGCAGGTGCTCTTTGAGCACCGCCACCCGCACACCCAGCCACCTAGCAACCCACCCACCTAGCAACCCAGCCACCTAGCAACCCACCTAGCAACCCACCTAGCAACCCACCCACCTAGCAACCCACATAGCAACCCACCCAGCCACCTAGCAACCCACCCACCCACCTAGCAACCCACCCACCCACCTAGCAACCCACCTAGCAAGCCACCCACCTAGCAACCCACATAGCAACCCACCCACCCACCTAGCAACCCACCCACCCAGCCACCCACCCACCTAGCAACCCACCTAGCAACCCACCCACCTAGCAACCCCCACCCACCTAGCAACCCACCCACCCACCTAGCAACCCACCCACCTAGCAACCCACCCACCCACCACTAGCAACCCACCCACCCACCTAGCAACCCACCCACCCACCTAGCAAACCACCCACACCCACCTAGCAACCCACCCACCCACCTAGCAACCCACCCACCCACCTAGCAACCCACCCACCCACCTAGCAACCCACCCACCTAGCAACCCACCCACCCACCTAGCAACCCACCTAGCAACCCACCCACCTAGCAACCCACCCACCCACCTAGCAACCCACCCACCACCTAGCAACCCACCCACCCACCTAGCAACCCACCCACCCACCTAGCAACCCACCCACCCACCTAGCAACCCACCCACCCACCTAGCAACCCACCCACCTAGCAACCCACCCACCCACCTAGCAACCCACCTAGCAACCCACCCACCTAGCAACCCACCCACCCACCTAGCAACCCACCCACCCACCTAGCAACCCACCCAGCCACCCACCTAGCAACCCACCCACCCAGCAACCCACCCACCCACCAATCCACCAAACCACCCACCCACCCATCAACCCACTCAACAACCCACCCACCCACCTAGCAACCCACCCACCCAGCAACCCACCCACCCACCTAGCAACCCACTCGACAACCCACCCACCAATCTACCAAACCACCAACCCACCAACTCACTCAAGAACCCACCCATCAACCCACCCACCAACCCACCCACCAACCCACCCACCTCTCCCGCACGCAATGTCACCACAGGCCTGGCAAGGTGGCGTCGCCACGGCGCCCGTGCCAGGATAGGTGCGCGTTACGGAGCGCGTGAAGGTCAAGGGACAGACCCGGCAGATGCCCCCGTGGGTCCACCTCTCCCCCATTACATCGGTGTTGTTATGATGATGATGACGATGACGACGTGTTATTATTCTCAGCGACGTCGCATCAGGTGACCTCCTTGTCTCTCCTCAACGCAGGCCTCTCTTCCCCGGAGGCTCCGATGTCGATCAGCTGACGGAGATATTCCGGTGAGTTGCTCGTGGATGAGCGTGCGGTGGGCAGCGGCGTGGGGGGCCAATAGACGGTCATCTAATTTGTTAGCAGCAAGCAACGTGGGGGGAGGGGGGGAGGAGGGGGAGGGGGTGGGGAGGGGGGGGAGGGTGGGAGAGGGAAGTGGGAGGAGGAGGGGGGGAGGGGGAAGGGGGAGGAGAGTGAGGTGGGGAGAGGAAGGGGAGGAGAAGGAGGGGGAGGAGGAGGAGGGGGGGAGAGGGAAGGGGGAGGGGGGAGGGGGAAAGGGGAGGAGAAGGAGGGGGGGAGAGGAGGAGGGGGGAGGAGGAGGAGGGGGGGAGAGGGAAGAGGGAGGGGGGAGGGGGGGAGAGGGAAGGGGGAGGAGTATTTGGCTGCTGATGTGAATTCCGCAACAGCCACTTCGTTGCGCAATCATTTATGAAATTAGGTTGATAGTCAACAGCTGAATTCTCACCGTCACCTCCGCCTACCCCCCCTACCCCCCTACCCCCACCCCCCCCGTGGCCCCCACCCCAGTCTTCTGGGCGTGCCGAGCCTGGAGGAGTGGCCGCTCGGAGCCTCCCTGCCGCACGGCGCTTTTGCCGGCCTCCCCGCTGCTCCGCGGGCTCTGGCTGACTCCGTGCCGGAGGTCGGGCCGGAGGTCGGGCCGGACAACGAGAATTTGGCGATGGCGCTGATGCTGGTGAGATGCGGGCGGATTGTACGCGGCGGCAATTGTCGCGGCGGTCGAACGACGCGTTGTTCAGATGCGTGTCCGTACGGGGGTTACCGTCAAGCGGGCAATAACGTATCGTGTCTCTGTGTGTCTCTGTGTGTCTCGTCTCGTGTCTCTGTGTCTCTCTGTGTCTTTCGTCTCGTGTCTCTGTGTCTCTCTGTGTCTCTCCGCGCCCTCCGCACGCACGGCCGTGCCTCCCGCAGGACCTGCTGACCTTCAGCCCCCGCAAGCGCATCTCCGCGTCTGTCGCCCTGTACCATCCGTACTTCTCTGAGGCCACAGACGTGGCCACGGGCGAGAGTACGGCCACAAGCGAGGGTGCGGCCACGGGCGAGGGCGAGGCCTAAGGAGTGGGCCCCGGGGCGAGGCCTAAGGAGTAGGCCCCGGGGCAAGGCCTAAGGAGTGGGCCCCGGGGCGAGGCCTAAGGAGTAGGCCCCGGGGCAAGGCCTAAGGAGTGGGCCCCGGGCAGCAAGGCCGAGGGAGTTTGCGTCGTTTTTCGTTGGTCGCTTGTGTTGCGCCCGAAACGTTGCGATTTGATTTGTTTTAATGTTTCACCGACGTGACTTCACCGAATAAAACCAAGGAGTAATAAAAGTGAACTCTGAAGCAGCAAAAGAAAAGTGAAGTACATCTTTGTTGTCGTCGTGTTGTTGTTTTCACAAATGTTGCAGTGGGCGACTTATTAAGAGCACGCCGTTACGTAGCGCAGCTACGCACAGGCGATCTGTATTGATTGTATAATGCTCTAGACTTCTGGGTCAGTCATCATATAACTGTGTGACAGCCTCGCAGCCATGTGCGCACTGACACGACCATATGACAATTGAGTATAAACCAAAGGTCGCAATCGGGTACCCGATACCCGTACCCTACACGATACCCGGCTACCCGTACCCAGACGGGTACAGGTACCCGTTCGCGACCCTGGTGCGGCCTGGTACGGGTAGACCGTGAGTCACTGGTGAGTCATCGTTTGTCACTCATTTCCCAACGTCTTGTCTCTTCTCACAATTCAAGTTCCTAGAATCAACCCACCCGCGCCTGCAACATGGCTTCATCCCAGAGGTCGCAATCGGGTACCCGATACCCGTACCCTACCCGATACCCGGCCGGGTACGGGTAGGGTACGGGTACGGGTACCCGTTTGCGACCCTGGTGCGGCCGGGTACGGGTAAGGAATCAAAACCCGTTTGCGACCTCTGGTATAAACGAACTCACGTGGATACATGCCCCACACAGGGCCTGAACATTGTATCACAAGGGGTCGTTCACTCACGGTTCAATGACACAGCAATACAATTTTAGCCGTTATTAAAACGGTGCTTATACACAGATGTGTACAGGATTTCATGTTGTCCTGTTGCACGTTCTATCTGGCCAAGCAGCACTGAGAAAAGAACATCTGACTCACAAGTTGTGGGGGCCATGAGTCACAATCCCAGGTGGGTGCCAGGTGACTTGACCTCATTATGGGATGTCAGCAATGGATGTCCTGTGAAGAATGTTTTAAGCCCCTTTTTGTAAATCCACCGTTGAAGGCCTCCTGATACCATGTTGAGCATCCATAAAGGTTGAATGAGTTTGACATTTTACTCGTAGGAACCTCTGGTTACACCAGCCCACATGGGATTATTGTGTCCGTCGTGCAGGGAGGGGCTGAGTGGGGAGCGGCTGGGTGGGGAGGGGCTGATTTGGGAGGGGCTGGGTGGGGTGGGGCTGGGTGGAGAGGGGCTGGTCACCCCGTGGTGCCCTTATAAAACTCAACGTTTAACCTACTCACGCCGGCTTGTGCCCGCCCTCACAGTCGGGCATATTTGCGGAATACACCACGCCGCCGTTGACCCTGCAGGCCATTGAGCGAGCAACGTTCCTACCAGCTCCCTCCGCAGGAGGAATGTGTTTATGTGTCGTTAGACCCTCCACCACCCGATGACACAGCCCATCAGTGAGGGTTGCCACGTAAACAAAACACGCCGTGTCGTTACTCGCACAGCGGCACACAGGTGCGTTGGAGAGTAAACCCACGACAACAACGTTTACAATTCCAGTGTGAATTATAGATTTGAAGTGTTCGTGACTGCAAGGATTCATACTCTTTGGTTTTTTCGGTAAAGTCACGTGGGTACAAAATCTAAATAAATTAGATCACGACGTTTCGGGCGCAACACAAGCATCCTTCTTCAGGTAGGGACAACTTAGAAGGAGGCTTGTGTTACGCCAGAAACGTGATTTAATTTTTAACAAAAAATTAACTACGTGACCAACGAGTATAACACTGGTCAAACACTTTTTCTGCTGATTCCAAATCTGGCATCAGTTTTTGTCTATCACAGCAGGTTTTTGAGATATCAAATATTTGCATTTTCAATAAAAACTGCAGAAGAAAAATATTAAATAAATGTGGATATCTACATAAAATGATATTATAAACACACTATCCTAAAAATACAGCACCATATTTTAACACTAAAGCAGTCACCGACTCGCAACAACTTGCAATCATAAGTGACAGAGTTAATTTCGGGTAAAATCAATGAAAATGGGGTATGCCGATAGCATAATAAGTATAACCGGTAAAAGCAAAGTTTTTCACTATAAATCCTTTATATGCGTGGCGGCTAGAGTCCTCTCGTCCTCTGGCTTGAGATGGCTGCCACCTATGGGTCAGATGATTGTCTGCCAGCATTAAGCAATTGGTAATTAAATATTGAATTTGTTTTTCCCTAAACAGTGTAAAATTTTGGAAAAAAAAATTTTCACGAACATTAATTGTCACGCACAACGAGTCTGTGTGCAAAATGTCAGCTCGATTGGATCACGGGAAGTGGGTTAAAAAACGACCGAAAGATTTGCACGGTCGTAAGCGCGCAAGCAAGCGAACTTAATATAGAGGATTATAAAATGAGATGTGATGGAGCAAATCTGAGATCACATTTGGAATCGGCAGCCTGAAGTGAGTCTAGAACAGCTGCACAAGTCCAGGCCAGAGACAAAGACCCCCGTGTAGCCTGCAGCGACTGCTGGGGCAGCAGGTCCTGAACGAGTGGACGGCGACTCTGGAACCCACAACCAACCGGCGGGTGGCGAGCGATGAGGTCGGCCATAAATGACGTCACACGATTTAGGACGATTTTTGACCCCCCCCCACCCCCCTCGTCACCCCCCCCCTCAAATATGACGTCACAAAGCTCTGCCCCCCACCCCCCCAAAAATAAAAATGCTTCAAATCGCTTTAAACTCTGATGTTGTAGGAGAAAACATTGATTAACAAGTCTATTTAGTTAAGTAGAACGTGTTGTCTATATCTTATTGGTTCTTTCTGTAAAGTCACGTAGAAGGGAAGTAATAAAATAATAAAATGAAAATAAAACATTAAATAATATAATTATATTATTATTTAAAGTTGCGCATTTTGATGTGACGTCACATTTCTCAACCCCCCCCCCCCTCGTCACGCATCGTCACAAATGTCTGACCCCCCCCCCTCCCCATAGGTGCGTGACGTCATTTATGGACGGACCCTTAGCATGAACCGTTTGCCCCCAATCAATAGGTTTTTGTTCACAATATATTTCAATGTCCAATATATTCTAGTGCTGTGCAAGAGCCTGTCAGTGCTGTTTGTTTAACCCTCCCCCCCACCAACCCTCCATCAAATGTAAACGAATGAAATCGATACTTTATAATCGATCACTAATACTTTATAATCGATCATTATTAATATTACCACTACGCCGATCTCGGAGTGGTCAAAGCACGCGTCTGCGCATGCGCGGTTGCCACGGCGACCGCGCATGCGCAGAAGCGCCGACAGCGCGGTTGCCACGGCAACAGAGCAACACAGCAGCTGAGAGGGGTGAGTCTTGAACAGCAACTTCAACGCCCTCAGCACCAGCACCACCACCACGGCCACCACCACCACCACGATGTTGTTGTTGTTGTGTAGCTACTACCATAGAGTTGGTAGATACTACTCGGTAGACACTACTACTGTAGAGGGAGCCACTTGATACTATTGTACAGTGAAGCCTCACGCAGCAATAATCTTAGTTAGAAGGATGCTACGCTGAGCCTACGATGCCTGTTTACCCAGCAAGGCCTCAACTGAGTAATAATAGTAGAAATAAAATAACTAATTATTATTTTTAATAATGAAAATTATAGAAATAAAAATAGAAATAAAAGTATAATTATATATTTCCTATTTATAGAAGAATTTCCGTTATTTTATTTTTTGCCCACGTGACTTTACCAAAAAAACCAAAGAGTATGAATCCTTGCAGCCACGGAAGCTTCACATCTCCACTTTGCGTGTCTATCTTCACCTGGTTGCGTGGATTTTCTCCCTCCGGGTCCTCCTGTTCCTCCCCCAACTTTTTGTAATCGACGTTCGTAGCCGGTATTTGCCTGCTGGACATTTACAAGTGAGAAGCCGCTTCCTTGAGCCAGCTCAATGGGCCTTACCTGCTGAAATAAAACATCGCCTTCAGTTGCGGTAGTTTGACTCTTGCGAATGAAGTCACTGGACTCCTAACGTCCGCTGTGAAGCAGACGGCAAATAGTGACAGTCTTGTATGGACGTGTGTTGAACGTTGTCACCGTACGTAGCCAACCGTGCGAATCGGAGTATCGGTACGGTTAGTAGGCACCGCAGTATTAACCAGGGCGGTTGCTGCCTTCGAACTGTGATCCTCTGCGACAATTGGTGAACGCGCTACCGCCAGGCCGTGTGTTTTCCTTCGCGAGCCCGATGCGTGCTTGAGCGTGATACTCAAAGCTCTGCACAGATAGAATCAAGAATCCATTGCTGTACCACCAACATACAATTTCATTTCTGCGCTCCCACTGATTTTCTGCGTATTTTTTTTTATTCCACGCGGCTTTGTTTCTGTTGACATTTTTGTTGTCGAAATCCGCCGCCTGCCATCCTGACCCCCGCCAGAGGTCGCAACCGGGTACCCGATACCCGTACCCTACCCGATACCCGACTACCCATACCCGGCTGGGTACGGGTAGCCGGGTATCCGTTTGCGACTCTGGTGCGGCCGGGTACGGGTTAGGCCATGAGTCACTGGTGAGTCACCGTTTGTCACTCATTTCCCAACGTCTTGTCTCTTCTCACAATTCAAGTTCCTAGAATCAACCCACCCGCGCCTGCAACATGGCTTCATCCCAGAGGTCGCAATCGGGTACCAGATACCCGTACCCTACCCGTACCAGGGTGGGTACGGGTAGGGTACGGGTGCGGCCGGGTACGGGTACGGGTAAGGAATCAAAACCCGTTTGTGACCTCTGACCCCGGCGCAGTTCTCCAACCGCCATGTACGAGGCGGCGCTGCTTGACGGCGGCACAGAGCCGCTGACGCACGAGTCCTGCGAGAGGGTCGTCGTCAACGTGTCGGGGCTGCGATTCGAGACGCGGCTCAAGACACTCGGCCAGTTCCCGGACACCCTTCTAGGCGACCCCGGCAAGAGGTCGCGCTACCACGACCCCCTGCGCAACGAGTACTTCTTCGACAGGAACCGGTCGAGTTTCGACGCCATCCTCCACTACTACCAGTCCGGCGGGCGGCTGAGACGCCCACTCAACGTCTCCCTCGAAGTGTTCGGCGAGGAGATCGAGTTCTACGAGCTCGGCAACGAGGCCGTGGTCAAGTTCTGGGAAGACGAGGGCTTCATCGGAGAGGAGGAGGTGGAGGAGGAGGAGCCGCTGCCATCGGACGAGTTCCAGCGGCGGGTGTGGCTGCTGTTCGAATACCCCGAGAGCTCCATCGCGGCCAGGGGAATTGCCACCGTGTCCGTGCTGGTCATCCTCATCTCCATCATCATATTCTGCCTCGAGACTCTGCCTGAACTCAGGGACGAGAATAAGCAGAAGTTTCTCCCGGCAAAGGACATGAACGGGACGCGGGTCGACGGCACGCATCGCGGCTCTGTCCCCGATCCATTTTTTATCGTGGAAACTATTTGCATCGTTTGGTTTTCCTTTGAACTGCTGGTGAGGTTTTTTGCGTGCCCCAACAAACTGGGATTTTTCAAAAGCATCATGAACATCATTGACATCGTGGCCATCCTGCCCTACTTCATCACCCTTGGCATCGAGATGGCCAAGCCCCAAGGGCATGACCAGCAGGCCACGTCACTGGCGATTTTGCGGATGACCCGGCTGGTGCGAGTGTTCCGGATACTCAAGCTGTCCAGGCACTCCAGGGGCTTGAAGATCCTGGGCCAGACTTTGCAGGCGAGCGCGAGCGAGCTGGGCCTGCTCGTATTTTTCCTCGTCATCGGCGTCATCCTCTTCTCCAGCGCCGTCTACTTTGCCGAGGCCGACCAACTAAACTCGGAGTTCCGAAGCATCCCCGACACCTTCTGGTGGGCCATCGTAACCATGACGACGGTGGGTTACGGCGACATGTGTCCCGTGACGGCGTGGGGCAAGGCGGTGGGCTCGCTGTGCGCCATCGCCGGCATGCTCACCATCGCCCTCCCCGTGCCCGTCATCGTCTCCAACTTCAACTACTTTTACCGCCGCGAGACGGGCGGTGAGGAGCGCGCCAGCCGCCTGCGTCTCTCAAGCCGCTTGCAGCAGCAGCAGCAGGTGGAGGAGAGAAGAAATAGCGGAAGCCGTCCACGAGCATCTCCACATACGTGGAGATGCGCGACGATCTGAGCAGCGACGTTGACTTCGAGGTGAAGATGCACCTCAAGCGCGACAAACACAACGGCATCGACAGAGACGTCCGATGCTCCGCCTTGCAAGTCGTCACGAAATGCCTCGAGGTATTTGTTCGCGATGAATGTGCACTGACATCGCTTACCTGTCGCTACGCTTGAATGGTCGAATGGACGTTTGAGTCGCGTGGTCAATAAATGTTTTCAAGTCAACTTCACGTCTGCGAACGTAAGTGTCTCCGTGTGCATAGCTGTCAATGTGGCGTTGTCTTGGAAGGAGGTTCGCGGTGAAAACCAAGCCACCCACCCACCATTTTGCAGTGCACCGTGCAAAGACGCGACTGCAAACTTTGACAGCTGTGCAACTCCTGCCACAATGAAGCCGGGTTCATGGCTAGAGAGAGGTGATAAGTTTTAATGCAGATTTGGGATGAGTTAAATGTCGGCTTTATAACAAAATGCAATAGCTTGTATAAAGTCATGTTCAATGAAGAGTGGAGCCCCATAGGAAGCCGGTTAAATTCAAACAACCCTTTGGGTGTCCTAAAAGCCCTCTTCGTGTTTGAAGCCTCGTCAAAATCCCGACAGGAGGTCAAGGGTGGAAAAAAACCGCTTGCCCGCCAAAGCGTCCAGCGAATGGTCCATACGAGGCAAGGGTATGCATCCGCAACGGAAACATTGTCAAGCTTGCGGACATCAACACAAAATCGCAAACTGCCGACGTGCTTTTTAACAAGTTCGATCGGAGCACCCCATGGGCTGGTGGATGGTGAGATTATGTTACTGCCAAAGCCACCTGTTCAGCCTTATAGACGATTTCACTCAGTCAATAGGGTAATTCTGCTAATCTGTTGAACATATTTTGTAAGTGATGTCACAGTGAATGAGACATGTTCCCGGGGCTCCTCAACATACAAGTGCGTATACATCACAGTGCACCTCCAATTGGCACGGTGGGCTACGTACGGTGCGAAATAAATGTACATACTACACTAAAATACACTCTACACTACACAGTCTTCCACTATACACCACGATACACTACTATACACTACACTATACACCACGATACACTACACTTATACACTACACTATACACCATGATACACTACACTTATACACTATACACTACTCTACACTACACTGTCTTCCACTATACACCACGATACACTACTACGAGGATCAGTTCTAGCTACATGTGGTGAGAAAGAAGTTAAACAAATACATAGGGCACGATGCGCTACACTTATACACTACACTATACACTACTATACACTACACTATACACTACTATACACTACACTTATACACTACTATACACTACACTATACACTACTATACACTACACTTATACACTACTATACACTACACTATACACTACTATACACTACACTTATACACTACACTATACACTACACTATACACTACTATACACTACGCTTATACACTACTATACACTACACTATACACTACACTATACACTACACTATACACTACACTATACACTACTATACACTACACTTATACACTACACTATACACTACACTATACACTACACTATACACTACTATACACTACACTTATACACTACACTATACACTACTATACACTACACTTATACACTACACTATACACTACACTACTACACTATACACTACTATACACTACACTATACACTACTATACACTACACTACACACTACACTATACACTACTATACACTACACTATACACTACACTATACACTACACTATACACTACTATACACTACACTATACACTACACTATACACTACACTATACACTACTATACACTACACTATACACTACACTATACACTACTATACACTACTATACACTACACTATACACTACACTACTATACACTACTACACACTACACTATACACTACTCTATACACTATACTATACACTACACTATACACTACACTATACACTACACTATACACTACACTATACACTACACTATACACTATACACTACACTATACACTACACTATACACTACACTATACACTACTATACACTACACTATACACTACACTATACACTACACTATACACTACTATACACTACACTATACACTACACTACACACTACACTATACACTACACTTATACACTACACTATACACTACACTATACACTACTACACTATACACTACACTATACACTACTATACACTACACTATACACTACACTATACACTACACTATACACTACACTATACACTACTATACACTACACTATACACTACTACACTATACACTACACTACTACACTATACACTACTATACACTACACTATACACTACACTATACACTACTATACACTACACTATACACTACTATACACTACACTATACACTACACTATACACTACACTATACACTACTATTCACTACACTATACACTACACTATACACTACACTATACACTACTATACACTACACTATACACTACACTATACACTACACTATACACTACATTATACACTACACTATACACTACTATACACTATACTATGCGCTACACTTATATACTACACTATACACTACACTATACACTACATTATACACTACTATACACTACACTATACACTACACTATACACTACACTATACACTACTATACACTACACTATACACTACACTATACACTACTATACACTACACTATACACTACACTATACACTACTCTGATTAGGATTGGCTGCGAATGGTGCAAAAGTAGTTCACCACCCACATGTAGAGGATGCCCCACCCATCCTCACACACTCGCACCGCACGTCGCAAACTCCTTCTGCACTCAAGTTGAATTTATTAGGTACCAGCGGGAGGTACCCGGCATTGCCCGGGCGAAAAAGACACACACAGACATGGACTTACACACACAGACATCGACCCACACACACAAACACATCGACTTACACACACACATATGTATGGACTCAAACACACACATTGACTCACACACATATCGACTTACACACACATCGACTTACACACACACGCATCGACTTACACACACACATGGACTTACACACACACATCGACTGACACATAGACACACACATCGACTGACACATAGACTCACACACACAGCGACTCACACACACAGCGACTCACACACACGCATGGACTTACACACATCAACGTACACATACACACATCGACTTACACACATAGCGACTCACACAGACACATCGACTCAAACACACATGGACTTACAGACACATCGACTCACACACATCGACTTATGCACACACTTGCACGTAGACACACAGACTTACACACACACATATGGACTCACACACACAGACATCAACTTGAGATACACACACATGGACTCACACACACACAAGTACACACACACAGACATCGGCTTTAGATACACACACATGGACTCACACACAAGTACACACAGACATCGACTTACACACACATACAAACTTACACACACAGACATCGACTTTAGATACACACACATGGACTTACACACACACACACACGTACACACAGACATCGACTTTAGATACACACACATGGACTCTCACACACACAAGTACACACAGACATCGACTTACACACACATACAAACTTACACACACAGACATCGACTTTAGATACACACACATGGACTCACACACACACAAGTACACACAGACATCGACTTTAGATACACACACATGAACACACACACACAAGTACACACAGACATCGACTTACACACAAGTACACACACGCAGACATCGACTTTAGACACACACACATGAACACACACCCACGATAGTCTATTCCCATGTTATCTCAACGGAAATCGACTCTATAAATTCACTACAAGAATCGATTCCTAATGTTATCCCATTAAGAATCGACGCAAATGGAGATAATCGAACCGGGAATCGAATTTCTCTGCACCACGTGACTTGAGAAACGGAAACACGTGGGTCCCAGGTGGGTGTCATGGCGGTGCGAGAACTCTTCTCGAGACTTGGCCTACTCTTCCTCTCCGTCCTCCACCTCGTCACGTGCACACACGGTGAGCCCAGCCAGAGGTGGTTGATACATCGGGTACCAGGGTGTGGTGGACGTGGGGAGCGGTGGTGAAGTGGTTAGCGCACTGTGTGTGTGTGGGGAGCGGTGGTGCAGTGGTTAGCGCACTGTGTGTGTGTGTGTGGGGAGCGGTGGTGAAGTGGTTAGCGCACTGTGTGTGTGTGGGGAGCGGTGGTGCAGTGGTTAGCGCACTGTGTGTGTGTGGGGAGCGGTGGTGCAGTGGTTAGCGCACTGTGTGTGTGTGTGGGGGGGGGGGGGGGGCGGTGGTGCAGTGGTTAGCGCACTGTGTGTGTGTGGGGAGCGGTGGTGCAGTGGTTAGCGCACTGTGTGTGTGTGTGTGGGGAGCGGTGGTGCAGTGGTTAGCGCACTGTGTGTGTGTGGGGAGCGGTGGTGCAGTGGTTAGCGCACTGTGTGTGTGTGGGGAGTGGTGGTGCAGTGGTTAGCGCACTGTGTGTGTGTGTGGGGGGGGGGGGAGCGGTGGTGCAGTGGTTAGCGCACTGTGTGTGTGTGGGGAGCGGTGGTGCAGTGGTTAGCGCACTGTGTGTGTGTGTGGGGGGGGGGGGAGCGGTGGTGCAGTGGTTAGCGCACTGTGTGTGTGTGGGGAGCGGTGGTGCAGTGGTTAGCGCACTGTGTGTGTGTGGGGGGGGAGCGGTGGTGCAGTGGTTAGCGCACTGTGTGTGTGTGGGGGGGGAGCGGTGGTGCAGTGGTTAGCACACTGTGTGTGTGTGTGGGGAGCGGTGGTGCAGTGGTTAGCGCACTGTGTGTGTGTGGGGAGTGGTGGTGCAGTGGTTAGCGCACTGTGTGTGTGTGGGGAGCGGTGGTGCAGTGGTTAGCGCACTGTGTGTGTGTGTGGGGAGCGGTGGTGCAGTGGTTAGCGCACTGTGTGTGTGTGTGGGGAGCGGTGGTGCAGTGGTTAGCGCACTGTGTCTGTGTGTGGGGAGCGGTGGTGCAGTGGTTAGCGCACTGTGTGTGTGTGGGGAGCGGTGGTGCAGTGGTTAGCGCACTGTGTGTGTGTGGGGAGCGGTGGTGCAGTGGTTAGCGCACTGTGTGTGTGTGTGGGGAGCGGTGGTGCAGTGGTTAGCGCACTGTGTGTGTGTGTGGGGAGCGGTGGTGCAGTGGTTAGCGCACTGTGTGTGTGTGGGGAGCGGTGGTGCAGTGGTTAGCGCACACTGCCCATCTCCGCAGCTGCGACTCCCCCTCTGAATGTCCGCGTGGAGTCTCGCGACCTGCTGACGCAACTCCGCTGGGACCACGACGCTCAAGTGGACGTCGCCACCAGCAGCAGCTCACAGCTCCTGGACGTTGCCTACAGGGTGGACAGCAAACTGTGAGATGCTTGCTCACTCGCTCACCCACTTACTCGCCCATCCACTCACTCACTCGCTCACTCACCCATCCACTTGCTCAACCACTCTCTCACTCACCCACTCACCCACCCACTCACCCACCCACTTACTCACCCACCCACTCTCTCACTCACCCACTCACTCACTCACCCACCCACTCACCCACCCACTTACTCACCCACCCACTCTCTCACTCACCCACTCACTCACCCACCCACTCACCCACCCACTTACTCACCCACCCACTCTCTCACCCACCCACTCTCTCACCCACCCACTCTCTCACCCACCCACTCTCTCATCACCCACTCACCCACCCACTCACTCACCCACCCACTCTCTCACTCACCCACTCACTCACCCACCCACTCTCTCACTCACCCACTCACTCACCCATCCACTCACTCACCCATCCACTCACCCAATCACCCACTCACCCATCCACTCACTCACCCACCCACTCACGCACTCACCCACTCACTCACCCATCCACTCACTCACCCATCCACTCACCCACCCACCCATCCACTCACCCACCCACTCACCCACCCACTCACTCACCCACTCACACACTCACCCACTCACACACTCAACCACTCACTCACCCACCCACTCACCCACCCACCCACCCACTCACTCACCCACTGACTCACCCACCCACTTACTCACCCACTCACTCACCCACTCTCTCACTTGCCCACTCACTCACCCACCCACCCACTCACCCACTTACCCACCCACTCACTCACTCGCCCACTCACCTGCTTGCTCACTTACCCACTCACTCACCCACTCTCTCACTCTCTCACTCACTCACTCACCCACTCACTCACCCACTCTCTCACTCACCCACTCACCCACCCACTCACACACCCACTCACACACCCACTCACACACCCACTCACACACCCACTCCTCACCTCCTCCTCCCCGTGTCTCTGTCTGTGCAGCTATGGACGAGCCCGCTGGCGGACCGTCTGCGCTGCCACCGCAGAGACACGGTGCGATGTCTCCTCAGCTCTGCGACATCCCGGCGACCGCTATCAACTTCGCGTCAGATCCACCGTCTCATCACCACCACCAACACCACCATCACCACCATCACCACCATCATCACCACCACCATCACCACCATCATCGTCACCCTGGGTCGTGGTTGATGTGTTACCCTTGAAGACAAGTGAGTGGCATTGTCTGTGTCTCTGTCTGTGTCTCTGTGTCTGTGTGTGAGTGTCTCACTCTCTGTGTCTCTGTGTGAGTGTCTCTGTGTGTGAGTGTCTCTGTGTGTGTGTGTCTCTGTGTATGAGTGTGTGTGTGTGTCTGTGTGTGTCTCTGTGTGTGTGTGTGTCTGTGTGTGTCTCTGTGTGTGTGTGTGTCTGTGTGTGTGTCTGTGTGTGTGAGTGTCTCTGTGTGTGTCTGTGTGTCTATGTGTGAGTGTCTCTGTGTGAGTGTCTCTGTCTGTGTGTGTGTCTGTGTGAGTGTGTGTGTCTCTGTGTGTGTCTGTGTGTGTGTCTCTGTGTGTGAGTGTCTCTGTGTGTGTCTGTGTGTCTGTGTGTGAGTGTCTCTGTGTGAGTGTTTCTGTCTGTGTGTGTGTCTGTGTGTGTGTCTCTGTGTGTGTCTCTGTGTGTGTGTCCGTGTGTGTGTCCGTGTGTGTGTCTCTGTGTGTGAGTGTCTCTTTGTGTGAGTGTCTCTGTGTGTGTCTGTGTGAGTGTGTCTCTGTGTGTGTGTCTCTGTGTGTGAGTGTCTGTGTGTGTGTCTGTGTGTGTGTGTCTCTGTGTGTCTGTCTCTGTGTATGAGTGTCTCTGTGTGTGTGTGTCTCTGTGTGTCTGTGTGTGTGTGTCTGTGTGTGAGTGTCTCTGTGTGTGTGTGTCTGTGTGTGTGTGTGTCTCTGTGTGTCTCTGTGTGTGTCTCTGTGTGTGTCTCTGTGTGTCTCTGTGTGTGTGTCTGTGTGTCTCTGTGTGTGTCTCAGCCGTGCTGAGTGCTCCGACTGTCACCTTGATGCTCCACAAGGACGCGATGCTGGAGGAGGGTGGTGAGGAGGGTGGTGAGGAGGAGGAGTGTGGTAGTGAGCGTGAGGACTACGAACATGACGACAAAGATGGCTACGAGAATGACTACGACGACGATGATGACGACGATGAGGGTGATGGCGGCGATGGCGGTGGCGACGAGGGAGAGCGGTGGGAGCTGTCCGTGCGGGTCTCCATGAGGAGCGAGTGGAGGAGGAGGATGGCGCAGAGTGGCGTGCACTACCATCTACAAGCCGAGGTCTCCACAAGGAGGGGTGTGACTAGCACGGTGAGAGTGGGGGCGTGGGTGGGTGAGTGGGTGAGTGGGTGGGTGGGTGAGTGGGTGGGTGGGTAGGTGAGTGGGTGGGTGAGTGGGTGGGTGAGTGGGTGGGTGAGTGGGTGGGTGGGTAGGTGAGTGGGTGGGTGAGTGGGTGGGTGAGTGGGTGGGTGAGTGGGTGGGTGGGTGGGTGAGTGGGTGAGTGGGTGTGTGGGTGGGTGTGTGTGTGAGTGGGTGGTTGAGTTGGTGGGTGAGTGGGTGGGAGGGTGGGTGAGTGGGTGGGTGAGTGGGTGTGTGGGTGGGTGAGTGGGTGAGTGGGTGTGTGGGTGGGTGAGTGGGTGGGTGGGTGGGTGTGTGTGTGTGAGTGGGTGGGTGAGTGGGTGGGTGAGTGGGTGGGTGGGTGAGTGGGTGGGTGAGTGGGTGAGGGGGTGAGTGGGTGTGTGGGTGGGTGGATGAGTGGGTGAGTGAGTGGGTGGGTGGGTGTGTGGGTGGGTGGGTGGGTGAGTGGGTGGGTGGATGAGTGGGTGGGTTGGTGAGTGGGTGGGTGAGTGGGTGGGTGAGTGGGTGGGTGAGTGGGTGGGTGAGTGGGTGGATGAGTGAGTGGGTGGGTGGGTGGGTGAGTGGGTGAGTGGGTGGGTGAGTGGGTGAGTGGGTGGGTTGGTGAGTGGGTGGGTGGGTGAGTGGGTGGGCGGGTGGGTGGGAGAGTGAGTGGGTGAGTGGGTGGGTGGTGATGCTACTACTACTGATGACGATGCTATTGCTGCTGCTGCTACTGAATGTCCAGAAATGGTTGAGTTCTGTCAGCTTCCACTTCCATGCTGAACTGGATGGATGGGTTTTGCGAGTTGAGATGATTTAGAAACGCGCTCAGTCTATCTTTGCCGTGTGGCCAGACCACCAACGTGTCATCCACGTAACCCGGCACACTGAGACCATCTGCTTGCTCCTGCCAGGAGCGCTTTGTGGGATGTCGCTACCGCCACGCGCTGCCTCAGCCTGCAGGCGCTGCTGAGTACTGCGTCCGCGTGAGAGTCGCGGCTCGCTACCCGCGGTGGAAGACAGGGGAGTGGTCTCCACTGTCGTGTGTCTCCGTCCCTCCACCACACAGCGCCGTGGGTGAGTGGGTGGGTGGGTGAGTGGGTGGGTGGGTGAGTGGGTGAGTGAGTGGGATGGTGAGTGAGTGGGTGGGTGGGTGAGTGAGTGGGTGGTGAGTTAGTTGGTGGGTGAGAGAGTGGGTGAATGAGTGGGTGAGTGAGTGAGTGGGTTGGTGGGTGAGTGAGTTGGTGGGTGGGTGAGTGAGTGAGTGGGTGGGTGAGTGGGTGGGTGAGTAGGTGGGTGGGTGGGTGGGTGAGTGAGTGAGTGAGTGGGTGGGTGAGTGGGTGAGTGGGTGGGTGGGTGAGTGAGTGAGTGGGTGAGTGAGTGGGTGGGTGAGCGAGTGATTTGGTAAGTAGTTGAGTGAGTGGGTGGGTTAGTGGGTGGGTAAGTAGTTGACTGAGTGGTGGTTGAGTGAGTGGGTGCGTGAGTGAGTGGGTGGGTGAGTAGGTGGGTGGGTGAGTGAGTGGGTGGGTGGGTGAGTGGGTGGGTGAGTGGGTGGGTGAGCGGGTGATTTGGTAAGTAGTTGAGTGAGTGGGTGGTTTAGTGGTGGGGTGAGTAGTTGACTGAGTGGGTGGTTGAGTGAGTTGGTGCGTGAGTGATTGAGTGGGTGAGTAGGTGGGTGGGTGGGTGAGTGAGTGGGTGGGTGAGTGGGTGGGTGAGCGAGTGATTTGGTAAGTAGTTGAGTGATTGAGTGGGTGAGTGGGTGAGTGGGTGAGTGGGTGGGTGAGTGGCGCACCCATTTAGCCCTCTCTATCCGGCTGAACAAAAGCTGTTCAGACATGCGGTGGCTGGGCATGCAGGCTACATGGCCCAGCCAACGCAGCCTTGCCTGCCGGAGGAGCTCACCAATGGGACTTTGCCCAGATCTTTCTGGGATTTGTGAGCTCCTCACACAATCCAGCTTGCAGGTTAAACCCAGGATGGATCGTAGACAGGCCAGCCTAAATGTTTCTAACCGGCGAATATGTTCCATTAGGGGGGTCCACTTTTCGCATGCGTAGAGAAGGGAGGGAATGACCGTGGCCGAGAAGACCTGAAGATTCGTGCGGAGTGACAAACCAGGTAGCTTCCACACAGTATTATGTAACCGATGAAAAGGTAATGCCGCTCGACTGATTCGGAGTGAGACCTCAGCCAGTCATGAGCACACTGCCCAGGTATGGGAAACTCTCCACTCTCTCCACAACTCCTCAATCACCAATTGGGAGTTGTGGGGGTGGAGTGTCCAATGGTACAAAATACCCAGGCAGGTGCTTAGTTTTGGTGGGGCTGATGGTAAGGCCCCACCTCTTAGTGGCACGCTCCAGTCTCAGCAGCAGCGTCTCCAACTCCTCTTCTGAATGAGCAGCTATTACCAAATCATCAGCATACGCAACATGGTTGAGCGATAGGGAGCCATCCCTTGACCGCACCCGGGCATCGATCAGCCTCCCATTGTATCTGTAACAGATGGAAATTCCTCTGGTACAGCTATTGAAGGCTTCACGAACTATGTGGTTAAAATAAATGTTAAATAATGTGGGAGCCAGAGGACATCCCTGTCGCACCCCAAGGTGTACAGGGAAAGGCTCTGACTCCCGGCCACGTAGTTTTATCCGGGCCCGCTCACCATCATGAAGGTCCTTAATGATCGTGAGCAGAGGGTCAGGGACTCCGAAAGCACGAAAAACTGCCCAGAGCCCAGTCCTACTGATGGTATCATAGGCCTTGACCAGGTCAATAAAGCAGAGATGTAGGTCTTGTTGGAATTCCCTACACCTCTGCTGTAGCAGACGGGCAGAAAATATGGCATCTGTGCAGGACCGCCCTTTCCTGAAACCGCATTGGGGCTCCGCAAGCCTCTCCTCAGCGTGCCTGGCAAGGCGGTGTTGAACAACAACACACAGACAGGTACACACAGACACACACACAGACACACACAGACAAATATCCCCCGTGTAGCCTTAACAGACTGTTGGGGCAAGTGCTGTTAGTGAGCACCTATGAAGGTCAGAACTTTACACGAGGGGGTGGGTGGCCAGCACCACGCCCGACCGCCTTTGTCTCCCCAGTGGCGATGTTTACACGCCGCACCAGGTACTCGTTTTGAGGCTGAGTCGACCTAGGGGAGGCCCAGGAACGGTTCAGGTAATCGTCACCGGTGTTGGCCGTGAGCGGGAATCGAACCTGGGTCGCCGGGTTCATAGCGCAGCGCGCTAACCGCTGCACCGCCGCTCCTCATCCAACAACACTGCTCAGCATCCCACTCTGTCTGTGTCTCTGTCTGTGTCTCTGTCTGTGTCTCTCTGTGTCTCTGTCTGTGTCTCTGTCTGTGTCTCTCTGTGTCTCTGTCTGTGTCTCTGTGTCTCTCTGTGTATCTGTCTCTCTGTGTCTCTGTCTGTGTCTCTGTCTGTGTCTCTGTCTGTGTCTCTGTCTGTGTCTCTCTGTGTCTCTGTCTGTGTCTCTCTGTGTCTCTTTGTGTATCTGTCTCTCTGTCTGTATCTCTGTCTGTGTCTCTGTCTGTGTCTCTCTGTGTCTCTGTCTGTGTCTCTGTCTGTGTCTCTCTCTGTATCTGTCTGTCTGTCTGTATCTCTGTCTGTGTCTCTGTCTGTGTCTCTGTGTATCTGTTTCTCTGTCTGTATCTGTCTCACTGTGTCTCTGTCTGTGTCTCTCTGTCTGTATCTGTGTATCTGTCTCTCTGTCTGTGTATCTGTCTCTCTGTCTCTGTCTGTGTCTCTCTGTCTGTGTATCTGTCTCTCTGTCTGTGTCTCTCTGTCTGTGTATCTGTTTCTCTGTCTCTGTCTGTGTCTCTCTGTCTGTGTATCTGTCTCTCTGTCTCTGTCTGTGTCTCTCTGTCTGTGTATCTGTTTCTCTGTCTGTATCTGTCTCACTGTGTCTCTGTCTGTGTCTCTCTGCCTGTATCTGTCTCACTGTGTCTCTGTCTGTGTCTCTGTCTGTGTCTCTGTGTATCTGTTTCTCTGTCTGTATCTGTCTCACTGTGTCTCTGTCTGTGTCTCTCTGTGTATCTGTATCTCTGTCTGTATCTGTCTCCCCATGTCTCCCCGTATCTCCCCGCGTGTCCCCAATCTCGTAGCCACCACCCCCGCCACCACCACCACCACCACCCCGCCACCACCACCACCGCCACCACCGCCACCACCACCACCACCACCACCCCCACCGCCACCACCACCACCACCACCGCCACCACCACCACCACCCCCACCGCCACCACCACCCCCACCACCACCACCACCACCACCACCCCCACCGCCCCCACCACCACCACCGCCGCCACCACTCCCACCACCACCACCGCCACCACCCAATCCACCACCACCCCCACCGCCACCACCACCCCCACCGCCACCACCACCCCCACCACCACCACCCCCACCACCACCACCCCCACCGCCCCCACCACCACCACCGCCGCCACCCCATCCACCACCACCACCACCACCCCCACCACCGCCACCACCGCCCCATCCACCTCGCGTGGGGTGTCCACGGGGGACGTGGTGACGCTCTTTGCCAGCGGCCGTGTCGCCTCCATCAGCTCGCTGGTGGCCATGGCGACGCTGCTGGTGACGCTGCTGGTGCTGGTGCTGGCGCTGGTGTGCACCGTGCGGGACAGACGGAGCCCCGGCAATCGTCCCGGTGAGCGGCGGCGGCTACACAGATGTTGACTACCTCGCCTGGTGCGTAGGAGGTCGTGGGTTCGATCCAGACACTGACGCCTGCTGCTGTATACTTGGAGTTTGCGTGTCTCTCTCTCATCATCATCACGGTGGCTAGGAGATGTTGACTACCTCGCCTGGTATACAGGAGGGCGTGGGCTACATCCCCGCCCCGGACGCCTGCTGCTGCTGTATATTTGGAGTCTGCGTGTCTCTCTCTCAGCTCGAGCCGTGACGACGACGCCCGCCGCTGTTGGCTCGGAGTTGGCGGCGTCCGTCTCTCCGCGTGGCGACGTCCGTTCCAGAGGAGAATGAATGATGTTTTACACGGCAAGTTATACATGTGTAGTGTTGTAAAGGACGGACTAATAAACCTCTTTATGGCACACACAGTTTATTGTCTTAATGACACAGTCCCTAACACACACAAGGGTTGTACGGTCCCCTCACCCGTTACCCTGAGGAGGTACAGCCTCCTGACCTGCACAGCTCACACTTCACTCCTAATCTACGGAGCTACAGCCTCCAGACTTGCCGTCTATCCAATCTCCCCGCCATCCCAGCGTCCTCCAGACTTGCCGTCTATCCAATCTCCCCGCTATCCCAGCGTCCTCCGGGGACCTAGGGGAGGCTCTCACGACCCGGCGGGTACCCGACCCTATGGTCACTCGAGACCTTCGCCCTCACGAGGGCGGGAAGGCTGGGAGCCAGGGTCCTATCCAGGTACCTATCTCCCCCGACCAATGGTGACACTGAGCCCCAGCCCTGACAAGGGCTGGGGTCACCACACAGAGACCCACAGACTCACCACACAGAGACCCACAGATCATCACACAGAGACCACAGACTCACACAGGAGATTCCACAGACTCACCACACAGGACCCCAGACCGAGACCCACAGACTCACACAGAGACCCACAGACTCCACACAGAGACCCACAGACTCACACAGAGACCCACAGACTCACCACACAGAGACCCATAGACTCACCACACAGAGACCCACAGACTCACCACACAGAGACCCACAGACTCACCACACAGAGACCCACAGACTCACACACAGACCCACAGACTCACCACACAGAGACCCACAGACTCACCACACAGAGACCCACAGACTCACCACACAGAGACCCACAGACTCACCACAGACTCACCACACAGAGACCCACAGACTCACCACACAGAGACCCACAGACTCACACAGAGACCCACAGACTCACCACACAGAGACCCACAGACTCACCACACAGAGACCCACCTCACCACACAGAGACCCACAGACTCACCACACAGAGACCCAGACTCACCACACAGAGACCCACAGACCACACAGAGACCCACAGACTCACCACACAGAGACCCACAGACTCACCACACAGAGACCCCAGACTCACCACATCAGAGACCACAGACTCACCACACAGAGACCCACAGAACTCATCACACAGAGAACCCACAGGACTCACCACACCAGAGACCCAGACTCACCACACAGAGACCCACAGACTCACACACAGAGACCCACAGACTCACACACAGAGACCCCACAGACTCACCACACAGAGACCCATGACTCACCACACAGAGACCACAGACTCACCACACAGAACCCACAGACTCACCACACAGAGACCCCATAGACTCACACACAGAGACCCCTAGACTCACCACACAGAGACCCACAGACTCACCACACAGAGACCCCACAGACTCACGACACAGAGACCCACAGACTCACCACACAGAGACCCATAGACTCACCACACAGAGACCCACTAGACCATCCACACAGAGACCATAGACTCAACCACACAGAGACCACAGACTCACCACACAGAGACCCCACAGACTCACCACACAGAGACACCACAGACTCACCACACAGAGACCCAAGACTCACACACAGAGACCCAAGACTCACCACACAGAGACCCCAGACTCACCACACAGAGACCCACAGACTCACCACACAGAGACCCATAGACTCACCACACAGAGACCCATAGACTCACCACTCAGAGACCCACAGACTCATCACACAGAACCCCAGACTCACCACACAGAGACCCCATAGACTCACCACACAGAGACCCAGACTCACCACACAGAGACCACAGACTCACCACACAGAGACCCACAGACTCACCACACAGAGACCCATCGACTCACCACACAGAGACCCTAGACTCACCACCAGAGACCACAGACTCACCACACAGAGACCCACAGACTCACCCCACAGAGACCATAGACTCACCACACAGAGACCCCAGACTCACCACACAGAGACCCACAGACTCACCACACAGAGACCCACCAGAGACCTAGACTCACCACACAGAGACCCACAGACTCACCACACAGAGACCCATAGACTCACCACACAGAGACCCACTAGACTCACCACACAGAGACCCAAGACTCACCCACACAGAGACCCATAGACTCACCACACAGAGACCCAAAGACTCACCACACAGAGACCCATAGACTCACCACACAGAGACCACAGACTCACCCCACAGAGACCCACTAGACTCACCACACAGAGACCCACAGACTCACCACACAGAGACCCATAGATCACCACACAGCAGACCCACAGACTCACCACACAGAGACCCACAGACTCACCACACAGGACCCATAGACTCACCACACAAGAGACCCACAGACTCACCACAACAGAGACCACAGACTCACCACACAGACAGAGACCCATAGACTCACCACACAGAGACCCATAGACCTCACCACACAGAGACCCAAGACTCACCACACAGAGACCCATCGACTCACCCCACACAGAGACCCACAGATCACCACACAGAGACCACAGACTCACCACACAGAGACCCACTAGACTCACCACACAGAGACCCATAGACTCACCACACAGAGACCCACAGACTCACCACACAGAGACCCATAGACTCACCACACAGAGACCCATAGACTCACCACACAGAGACCCACAGACTCACCACACAGAGACCCCCAGACTCACCCACAGAGACCCATAGACTCACCACACAGAGACCCACAGACCATCACCACACAGAGACCCATAGACTCACCACACAGAGACCCACTAGGACTCACCACACAGAGAACCCATAGACTCACCACACAGAGACCCACAGACTCACACAACAGAGACCCCTAGACTCACCACACAGAGACCCCTAGACTCACCACACAGAGACCCCACAGACTCACCACACAGAGACCCACAGACTCACACACAGAGACCCATAGACTCACCACACAGCGACCATAGACTCACCACACAGAGACCCACAGACTCACCACACAGAGACCCACAGACTCACCACACACAGAGACCCACAGACTCACCACACAGAGACCATAGACTCACCACACAGAACCAAGCTCACCACACGAGACCCTATGACTCACCACAACATGAGACCCACAGACTCACCACACAGAGACCCATAGACTCACCACACAGAGACCCATAGACTCACCACACAGAGACCCCACAGACTCACCACACAGAGACCCATAGACTCACCACACAGTAGGCTCCACAGAGACCCACTAGACTCACCACACAGAGAACCCACAGACTCACCACACAGAGACCCATAGACTCACCACACAGAGACCACAGACTCACCACACAGAGACCCATAGACTCACCACACAGAGACCCACAGACTCCCCCACAGAGACCCACAGACTCACCACCACAGAGACCCGCAGACTCATCCACACAGAGACCCACAGACTCACGCACAGAGACCCACAGACTCATCACACAGAGACCCACAGACTCATCACACAGAGACCCACAGACTCATCACACAGAGACCCACAGACTCATCACACAGAGACCACAGACTCATCACCCAGAGACCCACCAGACTCACCACACAGAGACCCATAGACTCACCACACAGAGACCCACAGACTCACCACACAGAGACCCACAGACTCACCACACAGACCCACAGACTCACCACACAGAGACCCACAGACTCACCACACAGAGACACCCACAGACTCACCACACACAGAGACCCACAGACTCACCACACACAGACACCCACAGACTCACCACACAGAGGACCCACAGAGACTCACGCACAGATGACCCACTAGATCATCACACAGAGACCCACAGGACTCATCACACAGAGACCCATAGACTCATCAACAGAGACCCACAGACTCATCACACAGAGACCACAGACTCACACACAGCGACCAAGACTCACCACACAGCGACCCATAGACTCATCACACAGAGACCCCATAGATTCACCACACAGAGACCCACATACTCACCACACAGAGACCCATAGATTCATCACACAGAGACCCATAGACTCATCACACAGAGACCCATAGACTCATCACACAGAGGACCCATAGACTCACTACACAGAAACCCACAGACTCACCACACAGAGACCCGCAGACTCATCACACAGAGACCCACAGACTCATCATACAGAGACCCATAGACTCATCACACAGAGACCAATAGACTCACTACACAGACCCATAGACACCACACAATCCCATATACTCACACAGAGACCCATAGACTGACCACACAGAGACCCATAGACTCATCATACAGAGATCCATCGATTCACCACACAGACCCATAGACTCATCACAGAGATTCATAGGATCACCACACAGAGACTCATAGACTCATCATACAGAGTCACATATGCTCACACAGAGACCCATAGACTCATACAGAATCCCATATACTCACAGAGACCCAAGACTTCACACAGACCCATAGACTCATGACACAGAGATCCATAGACTCACCACACAGAGACCCATAGACTCATCATACAGAATCCCATATACTCACACAGAGACCCATAGATTGACCACACAAAGATCCATAGACTCACTACACAGATCCATAGACTCACCACACAGACCCATGCACCTAGCTTAGCACAGCAGTCAACCCACGGCACCTGCAGGGTCTGACCTGTGACCTCCTCCTGCACGTAGCCTGGCACAGCAGTCAACCCATGGCACCTGCTGGGTCTGTCCCGTGACCTCCTCATGCACCTAGCTTGGCACAGCAGTCAACCCACGGCACCTGCAGGGTCTGTCCCGTGACTTCCTGCACCTAGCCTGGCACAGCAGTCAACCCACGGCGCCTGCTGGGTCTGTCCCTGAGATGATAAGCCACTTCGCTAAGCCATCTCTCTCTCTGCGCGTGTCTGTCTTTGTGTCTGATAACTTTAATGTAAATTGTATTATGGTTGTCATTGTTTGACATCTTCTGTAACAGGAAGACATCTTCTGTAAGGAGAAGACATCTTCTGTAAGGAGAAGACATCTTCTGTAACGGGAAGACATCTT